TGTTGAGGTTTCAGCATTCGAGCAAAAACTTCCTCTCCATGAAAATGAAGCACTTCTGAATTCAACATAAGTTTTACACCCAGTCTATCTTTTTAGTACCAGTATAGCGTATCAGATTTCGTTTACTGAGAAGGTTTCTATCTAATTTCTGATACAACGTTAATTGATGGTTTATTCGGTCGTAAACGTCTGACTCGCAATTAGCACTCTATAATGGAGATTAAACTACGATTTTTTTATATTATGTAGGCAGCAAACAAGCACACGGCCCGCCAGATGAAAAGCAGTCACTGTCGTCTACGAACCTGCAACACCAGGGGCGTCACGAGCGCGTTACCAACCCTTTAGGACCCTACCAAATCCCTTTTGAAGAACTCTATGCTGTATTCCAGCAATTGCTGAAATTGCTTTTCTATATTCAAAAAACAAAAAAAAAATATTTTGGAAAATAATTATTTTTTTATTGACGACCTCCGTCATCAAGTGGCTTGCACACCGGTTCGGTCGGAGTTCGATTCCCAGGCGGGTCAATGTGAAAATTTACTTTTTTATAATAGTCTCGGGTCAGGGTAACTGTGGTTCCGTTGTTGTACCCGATTTCAAAAACACAAGTGCTTTAGTTACTGTAGTTACTTACTTTGGGATCAGAGCAACGTATGTGATGGTATCTAAAATTTATTTATTTATTTAATCAAATAATGCACCCATGGTATTTTAGGATCATAGTTTGAAATTGTGCTCCGCTAGTCAGACCTTCACCGCCGTCTGCATTATTTGCACGTAAACAAAATATAATTATTTGGAGTTTCCACGTCAAGACCGTGGCTATTATTTTACTGCCATATGAAATAGTACCTTACAATATCAACACACTTCTGCCACCTTCTCGGAAGCTAATTTATTCCTATATAATAGCGGGGATTGGGAGCTCAGAAAGTCTTGGAAGTCATTTACGACTCTTTCAAGGGAACTAAATTGTTTTCGTCGTAGATTATTATCTAAATTGAGGAAAAAATGGTGGCCGGTCGGGGTCAAGTCAGTTGAATATAGATGGGGCGAAGAACCTCAAATTTCATCGTCAAAGCTCCTGTAAGGTGAAGATAATTTGTTAGGCACTTGTACTCTGGCGTTATTATTAATCATGATTGTTTTATTACGAGTTTGCCGTCATCGACCGTATATCTTTATAATAGCGATCGACTTTCATGGTTGTACTTAATTGTACAAAGCTATGGTGAATTGCTCCGCGGCTGAACCACAAAACAGTTAACAGCAATTTCTTTTTTATACTATTTGGGTTTTCGCCAAAGGTCATCTAATGTGTTGATCGTTTGCGATTATCATAAACAATCAATTTTTCATTACACGTAACGATATAGTCTAAAACAGATTCAAGTCTGAGTCGCTTCATTAAGACAGCGCTAAATCCAATCGCTTTGCCCCTTGTACTTCGGATACTATGGATCGGTTTCAACAAAAATACGTTAAGCGCCATTATTCTCTTAAGCTCTAATTGTCCTCGAGACTTGTTCGTAAGGTTAACATTTTTACTGTGGAATCGAGCAAATCAAAAATGCATAGTACGTTTCATTGTATCGACTCTACACGTCGTTAATGTTTCGATCGTTTGCGTTGTGCGACGCCAGAACTCATAACAAATAAATAAGGCTAAAGTTGAATTTTGTTTATATTAATTATACAATTGTAATTTTACGTTAATTTAAATAACAGTAGGCTCATAAAAAAAATATTTAAGCTTTTACTACTAAAGGTTCGGTATAGATGACGCGAGCTTACAATTAATTACCTATACGAATTTTATTCACAAGTATCCGTAGGCGTTCAAACGTTTTAAAATTTCATAAACGTTTTTGACGCTTGAAAGATTTTATTTCATTTCACTATATTCAGACGTTAATTTCAGACTTTAACCCCTATTTACTTGCAGTTTTGAGAGAATTAACCACTTTTGCTTATCATTTTTTTTCCTTTTGTATATTATTTTAATGGTCTTGTCTGTACAACAAATACAGTTAAACAACGGCAATATTTCACTTTTCTGTAACTAAAGAACATCATGTTGTAGCCTAAACTTAAGTAAATGATGTGAAGTTTGGAATTAAATGAGGGTGATTTATGGGCACATCCTCTCGTTTTGAGAATTTTGATGGAAGTAACGACGGAACGAATAAACGTAAAAATAGTCAAGAAAAAGGGAATTTGAGTATGATTAAAAATTCTAAAAGTATGTGAGTAAGAGCCAGTAAACAGGGTAATATAAAGATGGGATGACGAAGGTGGGATGACGAAGAAGAAGGTCAGCATAATCACAACGCCTGTCACACGAGACGATGTTGTTGAGGTTCTAGAGTACCTAACTAGTTTGTATTTGTATTGTAGTTTCTTCTTGAATTTCACTAGAAGTAGCAGAAGTCGCCAAGTTTCACGATAGTACGCCATTGTCTACTTGTACTACAATATCCCAAACGATCATAATTATTTTTTTTAACTTATTGCATAGCTGTATTCAGTATGTGAAACAATGTATTATGAGTAAAACACCGATCTTTTCATTGGTTAAAATAATCTCGTGGCAACATCGGGCCGGTGTAGTGTGTCTTTTAATAGTCGTCACAATCTAATAGGCCCGTTTTGACAGCTGTCAACGCAACAAAACTAGGGCTGCTACAAATCGTTAACCAAATTATTCGTTTCTCAGGAGGAATCGATTATAAATGAGTTTGTGATCATTTAGATTAGTTTTAAATTGTAGTTAGAACAATTTACATTTATTCAAACATTTAAAGTTTAATAAAGGAGCCACCGTGATCCAGCAGATCCTGTATTCATCAACCAACTCAATGTATGTGGTGCTTTGTTAAAGTGTTTGGCACTGACATTGCTATCCTATAGGTACGGTTCTCATTTCTCAAAAGGAATCGCGTGACGGCTCCTCGTGGAGCTACGTCTCTTGTCATCTTGCAGATGTATGGATCCTTCCCATTTTGTTAACTTCGTTCCCAGACAGCACTTTTTATTTGTTACATTAAATTATATTTAAGTAAATTACGTGGAATTGAATTAAGTTGGCGAATTCAACGATCAATTTGGTTACAAGACTAATATTTATACATTAAAAAGATATAGGATAAAAGATATAAGATAGTAATTCAACATTGGTTTTTATTTTCGAAATCACACGAAAATAATACTTGAAATGCGTTCTGTATTGTAATATAATGTAGCAATGAAATTGAAAATTTTCTCTTTAAGCGCAATATGTTCAGTTATTTGTTTGTTGTTTTGTCGATTTCATTCAAAGTTACATTCTATCCTCATTCTTAGCTGTCAAAACGGGCCTATTACACTTTGACAATTAAAATTGGTATAATAACATTGTTTCACTGGCACAAATGGTGGCTTCACCGTCAACCCGTGATTCTATTTTGTTGAAAAGGGGGTACTCCAGTAATGATCCCATTCGACTTTTAAAAAATATTCAACCTCTAAGGGTAGCTACTTAAGAGATGAATCCGGTTTATTGGATAATGGCAAAAAGATGCACAACGAAAACGATTAATCAAACTCTTAAGGCCGGTTTTTTTAATAAAAAAAAGTTACAATTATATAAATAATACACACTACTTTAATTTTGTAGTTCTTTATCCCTTCAAAACGTCGTAACAAGACAAAGTGTAATAAAGAATTCACCAAACTCATAAATTCTCCATTTTTATGTGTAATTTTATTTATTTGTAACAAAAATCTTACAACTATGACACAATGATCAAATATACCTTGCGACGACTAGTCACCGTCTCTTAATAACTATTATGTAAGTTATTCAATATATACAAAAGCCATAATTTACACAGAACATCAATATATAGACAAACACTAATTGGCTTAGGTGCTAAGACTCAAATTAGACGCTTATAAAAGCGCTGTAACGGCGTATCTGTAGCGCAGCTGTCGTGCCATTACTACTTGGTACTTGGTACTTGGTGTAACGGGCTGGTGTCCGCAACTCGACGTCAAGGCGCCTATTTTGCGTGCCATTACTAATTTTCGTATAATATTTAGAAGCACAGTCGCAGCGCCATTGTCGTGACATGCACTCGCCACTTTTCCTGGCAGTCATAATTAGGCGGCGAACAAATGTGTGCCTTGTATTGGGTACAAGCAACGGGAACTAGAAGCGAATATTATATTTTCATACAATTGATATGAAATCGACACTGACGCCGGTTGCGACAGTCGGACATTGGCGCCGGTTGCCGCAACCGCAATTCTATGAAAATATCGTGTCTTAGTGAAGTAAAATGTACGCGTGACTATGGTACCACAGTAACGCCACTACAGCGCTTCTTTAAGCGTCTGATTTGAAAGTGCCCATATTATGCTTCGTATTTAATTTCTAAGAATGATTTGTAATCTGAAATCAATTCAAAATTTGTCTAATGTATTTAAGGCTCATATTACATTATTGGAATAGAAGCGAGTAACTATAGCATAATGAACTTTATGTCACTAGTTTAAAGTACAAACTAGATACGAGAGAAAAAACAGGGCCCCAACAGGGCCCCAAAGCTTTTAACTTTCTTCAAACATGGGTCATTGTAATTACTATGAGACTCTACCGAGATTATATTGCAATTATGATAAAATTTGTTAGTCTGCTAAAATCCCCTTGAAGCGGCAGTTGAGTGTCAATAGAGTGTCAGTTGAATGGCAGTGATGGCACTCATTCATTCAATCATTAATGATCGATGTTGCCTTACTAAACCTACCATGGAAATTACTATAACATAATCTCAATTTTTTATCCCGTTGTCAATTTGTTAGTTTCCTTAACTACCTAGAATAACTGATTACTAAATGTGTCCCTACAAAAGGTATGGTAAAAAGTTTTTGCGATTTCTGACATTTCGAGTACTCTTACCTCAGTTGGTCCCATAGAGACTATTGATCCTTAACAGAGACCGGATCGAATGACATAAAAAAAAAGTTTTGTAAAAATTGCCTTTTATCTTGCTGACTGTACCATTTTTCCAAAATCTGTGAATGCCAATCAAAATATCTTCAAAACTCATGGATAGTCTTCTAGAACCGTTTTCCTGTAACTAAAACGATTAAGGTGGCTGGCGTTGCTGCCCCTTCTCAAATATACACCCTGTATATGTATTTGTAGACTATAGCATCGACGTGCGCTCGACTCGCCATTGAAGAGCGGAGTACCAAAAAATTGCAATAGCTTGACGATGGCTAGCCCCTGACAAGCGGTTACTGTTAACTTTTAAATCCGCCATTGACACTCTGTCGACACATAGCTGAGATGATTTCAAATTAGCAGACATGGAGTTCGTTCGTTCGAGAAAATTCGTATCTGGTTTCTATGTCACACAATTGACACAAAGGTCATGCTATGTACTATTTTGTTTGAAGAATTCGCTTCTAATTCCATTGCGCAACTATGTAAAATGAACCTAAAAAGAGTGTTCTATTAATGTATTATTATTACAATAATGATATGATGTGCTGGATAAATTACGAAGAGAAGTATAAGTTCTACACAACTATTTTCTCTTAAGATTATCAGGTATGTAGTTGTCCTTTCCAGGAATACCCGTGCCACCTGAGTCTCCTAACCAAGGATATCTGAAATTAAGTACATATTTATTGTCACTTACATGGTAACGTCTTGTGTTATAAGCTTTATCTCTATGTTTTTCGCGTTATTCTTCGAAAGAGTACACTCGAGAGTCTTTGGAGGAACTGTACATAGTATGCTTAATTAATACGCGCTGCACAGCGAAGGTGTTTATTTCAATATACAGTACATTAATTATTTTAAATGGGATATTTTGCCACGTGGACACATTGTTTTACTTTTAAAAGTAAATAATTCTGCATAAAGATTTGGCGCCCTGACATGTATAGTTCCTATACAGTTCCCGCTATGCATCTACGTACAATTGTTAGAGACACACGGCTTTTATAATGATTTATTTTGAAACCGCAGCATCCTAAAGCCACCATTAAAAAAGCTTATAATTTTTGTTTTAATACCAAAAACGTTAAGGATACACTTGTGTCAGTAGAACGCGTCACAAATTAAAGTTCCGAATTTGTTGAAAAAGGCTGGTTAAGGAAAATACTAGAAACTTAAATTCTGGTTACAATACTGTTCATAACAATCCAAGCAAGCGACAAACACTTACTGGTTAGGGCATTCGCTGCAAGTCTCCATATACCGCGTATCGGTGATGTTCTTTTCGGGATGTTTGAAGGAAAGTGCGCATTTGTTGGGAAGATTGCAAGGCGCTGGAGGGAGATCCTTCTTGTCACAGCGCCAAGGTTCAAAATTTAGTAACACTTTGGCTGGTTTTGGGTCTGTCATCCAGGTCAGTGCTTGTGTTACAGTCACGAACCATACATCTTTTCTATAATGTGTAAATAACATTGTATTAGTTAATACATCAAATGTCAATACGAGTATACTTAGAACGTAGAACACAGAAGATATATACATAAAATATATAGGTACTGTAGCAGTGGAGCTCCTTGTAAAAGAGTTCGTCCAGGCGACGTACTGCCACCTTATTTCTGCCGCCAAACAGTAATGTGAACATTACTGCGTTCCGGTTTGGAAGGGTAAGGGTGCTGGTCAAATACAGGCACATGGGACTTGTGAACTTATGTCTCAGGATGTCGAACGCAGTGGTAGTGCCCCTCAGATCTTTGCGATTTAAAGCTCTCAATAGCACTGCAACTGTTAAGGACAGGCATGTCGCTTTCCATCGGGCACACAATTGTTCGTCTTGTCGCTTAGTATTATAAAAAAACATAAACCGAAATCAAAAACATTTAAAGTAAAAAAAAACCTATGTTTCCCTATACAAGTTGTATAGAATCTCATGAAGAAGAACTAGAGCTCGTGTTATTTCCGATGTTTTCCCTTATAAACCACTACAACTCTGTTATGTTGATAAATATAGCTGTTAGGGATTGGATATAACTTAAAATTGGACTCAGTTACGAGTCGCGGAAGACACCGTTTTTTTTATCTTGGAAGGTGTAAGTGGCAGGGATTGAGTACAGCCTAAGACGGACTAAGAAGCGACCCTAGAAACGCTGTTTTCTATCTTGGAAGGTGCCTGGAAGGGACTGAATATAGATTGGCCATAAGAGGCGATTCTAGGAATCCGCCGGTTTCTTTTTTGTTCGCCGATAATGACCGCGATCGAGCGGCTTACGCACCGGTTTTTATGGTGATGTCGCGATCTCTAAGGTCCCGGGTTCGACCCCCGACCGGGTCAATGAAGAAAGCTTCTAACTTTCTGTTTCTTTTTTTATAATATCAAGTGACGGGACGAACAAGTCGTGCGCTTGATGATAAGCTACACGCCTGTCCATAACAGTTGCATGACCACTCAGAGCTTTAAATCGCAAAGATCGAGGGGCACTACCACTGCGCCCATCACCCTGAAACACCAGTGGACAAGTCTCATGTGCCTGTAATATCACCAGCACCCTTCTTACCCTTCGAAACCGGAACACAGTAATGCCGACATTACTGCTTGGCGGCAGAAATAGTTAAAGTGGCAGTACTTCCCTGGACGAACTCTATCACAAGGAGCTCTACTGCTACTAAAAATGTATCGTCTCCGGTGTTGTTGGCACTGTCGTTGTTTCCGATTTCCATAACACAAGTGCTTTAACTACTTACTGTAGGATCAAAGCAAGGTATGTAATGTTATCTAATATTTATTTCTGTGGCTCTAGTGAAAAAGGGTACAAGTCAAAAAGGCCAACTTTACAAGGATACGCGAAAATGTTAAATCTTAATATGGTATTAAGCGTTAAGTGCTTTTCGTGTTTCCTTGTAAAGTTGGCTTTTTTATTTGTACCACTTTTCACTAGAGCCATAGATTTATTATTTATTTATTTTTATTTTGGAAGGTAACTGGTAGATATTGAATATATTCTAAGATTGGACTAAATGGCAACCTGTCGAAAACGCCATTTCCTATTTGGAATGTGAATTAGTAGATATTGAATATAGCCTAAGATTGGAATAAGCGGTGAGCCTTGAAAGACGCTTTTATACCTGTGTAGATTTATAATTCACACTTACTGACTAGCAGCCCAATGAAGGAACTTGTGCAATCCGCGCTCGAGTGCTTTGATCTGGAACCAGTTGGTGTGGAACGGCATCATATATGGCGCGCGATTCTGCTCGTAATACCGACTGAAGTCTTCTTGTAACCACTCCAGGACCTGCAGGTATTGTACAATATGTTAAACTCTCTAATGATGGAAGCTGTCAATTTGCCAAGTGTTTTAGGAGGAGAGTCCTTTCCTCTAATTTAAAAGAGAAAATATACATTAAAGCTCCGAAAAGTAATATCTATGTGTTTGCGTTATTTATTAAGCTACCGAAAACTTTTATGCAAATAAAAATACGGAGACAACTGAATGAAATATTGAAATTTCCGAAGAATCTTGCTGAAGAAATGCTACTAAATTTATATTTTATCAAAAAGCATTGTTTGCCATTTTTATCGTAAATCACCTATTTATAAATTTAAAAGCGAAGCTGGTTACATTTATTATGAATTAGTGACAACATAGGGACTCCTAAGAAATATCAAATTTATTTGTAATCAACCTCTATCCATCGTATTCGTTTATATGTAGAAAGACTTCTATGTTCATATATATAGCTCAATCAAAAAATGTCAAGATGGCGTTCGAAGCTCGCGTGAAGTGACGCCGTCGCGTCGCGGGCCGAACAGCAGTACTTAGTTATTTTGGTTAAGATTGAGCTAGTTAGTGTGATTTTGGAGGAAGATTATGTACAGTTTTTTTTACATTTTTATTTATTTTATTCCTTTCATATTCACAACAAATTCTATCAGATAAATAGTTTAGTATTGTAATTTTAACAAGCTCTTTTTTATAATATTTTTTGCTAAATATGGTGAATTTTGTCGATATATTCTGTGTTTATTTTTCAATTCAGTTACTCATTTTAACGCACGCAGTTAAGTTATTATTATAGTTAGCCACAGGGGGCCTACCATAACCTTTCCAAAAAAATCTTATTTCAATGTAAGCTTAAAGTAAGCTTAATTAAATTTTTATTGAATTGATATTCAATTATTTTTGTGAAATTACTTCACTAGTTTGTTATAATTATTAAAGTAAGCTTTTTATAATATTACTCATATTCGTACCATGACGAACCTGTCAACCAAGTAATGTATTATTGCAAAAGTGATTGAAAGAACGAATGATTTCCCAACGTTGTCTAATCCTTACTAAAAATAGGAAAGAGATAACGATATGTGGACTATATAATGCCCTCTCTTTCTTTTTTGAAGTTCCGAATCGTCATATCGTAGTATAATATTTAAGTACTTAATGTTATTTACATTCAGAGAATTTTGACTGCTAAAAAAATTAAAAATATGTAATAATAAAATCTATTAAAATTACCTTGCTTTCAATATATTATTCCGCATTTTCATAAAGAAAAATAAACATAACAAGCTGGGTCTTGATAGTCACGTTGTTGTGAATTCGGAATTATAGTCTAGTGTCAACTGTTAGTTTCGCCAAAAAGCATATAGACGGCGCTGTCATGATTTTACAAAATAAATATCGCGTGTTTTTATTTAACGAGAAATTATTTCATATGGGCTATTAAACAAAAAATAAACAAAATATTGAAGAAATATAAATAAATAAATAAGTTCAACTTAACTTTTAATCATTACAAATCAATACTAACACAACAAAACTGAAAATAATATTGTTTCGATTGCATCCGTGTAACTATTTTTAAGATTGCTAAATTTGACATAACAGCAATATTACTTCAATGTTAAAGTCACGTCATAGTACGAATTGAGTGAATGAATAGTTACAAAGCTGTCAATAAAACATATCAACAAACAACAACATAGTTTCAACATTACAATAAGCTTAATTTAAGCGCGTTATGAGACGAAAGTCAATGTAATTTTGTTTTAAGAGATTGTGGTAGGTCCCCTGGTCGCTGCAATTTCATTTGTTTTTCGGAATCTTTATTATTTACCAAAAAAAATATCTGTACCGCTATTTCTGGTATAGTTTTCTAACCTATAATTTTTTTAATGACTTTTTAATTGTTATATTATAATTTCCCTCCTATCAGAATCGATGAAATTATTTTCTTGTCTTATAAAAAATCGTCTTAGAGATCGAATCGTCTAATCGACTTACAGACTAGTGAATTGCTCCGGATCCTACTCCTTCAGATATATATATACATATAATAATAATAATAATAACGCACACACTCAACATAGCCCCGCACTAGGGAAACCCCTGTGTCGCGGGTGCCATGGACACACACATAGACAACCACAAATTACACCCAAACTCACGAGAGAAATAA